AAATTTCATTTTCTTTCACTTTTTATTTTAATTTCATTTTATTTCATTTATTTTATTTCATTTCTTTCATTTTTTTAAAATTTCATTTTCTTTCACTTTTTATTTTAATTTCATTTTATTTTATTTTATTTCACATCATTTTATTTAGTTCTATTAATTTGTATTTTATTTAATTTATTTCATTGCAGTTTATTTAATTTAAATTTATTTATTTTATTTTATTTACTTTATTTCACTTCATTTTATTTATTTTTATTAATTTCTATTTTATGTTATTCATTTTTTTCCCGTCTATTTTATTTTATTTTATTTACTTGATTTTTTCACTTCATTTTATTTAATTTTATTATATTGTATTTTATTTTATTTATTTTCATTCATTTTATTTGATTTATTTTATTTTTATTTGATTTATTTGATTTACTTGATTTTTTTCACTTCCTTTTATTTAATTCTATTATATTGTATTTTATTTTATTTATTTTCATTCATTTTATTTGATTTATTTTATTTTTATTTTATTTATTTTATTTACTTGATTTTTTCACTTCATTTGATTTAATTTTATTATATTGTAGTTTATTTTATTTATTTTCATTCATTTTATTTGATTTATTTATTTTTATTTTATTTTATTCCAGTCTATTTTATGTATTTTATTTTATTTACTTGATTTTTTCACTTCCTTTTATTTAATTTTATTATATTGTAGTTTATTTTATTTATTTTCATTCATTTTATTTTATTTATTTTATTTTATTCCTAATTTTATTTTATTTCATTTTATTTCTTTAATTTAATTTAATTTAATTTAATTTTAATTTTATGTCTTTAATTTCATTTCATTTATTTCATTTTATTTTCTTTCTTGAATTTAATTTAATTTAATTTAATTTAATTTAATTTAATTTTAATTTTAATATATTTCTTTCATTTCATTTCTTTCATTTTATTTATTTTTTAATTCAATTTAATTCAATTTAATTTAATTTAATTTTATTTTATTTTAATTTCTTTCATTTCATTTCATTTATTTCAGTTTATTTTCTTTCTTCAATTTAATTTAATTTAATTTAATTTAATTTAATTCAATTTATTTTTAATTTTATTTCTTTAATTTCATTTCATTTCTTTCATTTTATTTATTTTTTATTTCAATTTAATTTAATTTAATTTAATTTTAATTTTATTTCTTTAATTTCATTTCCTTTATTTCATTTTATTTATTTTTTATTTTATTTTATTTTATTTTATTTTAATTTAATTTTATTTTATTTATTTATATTTTAATTCAATTTATTTTCCATTTATTTTTAATTTAATTTAATTTAATTTAATTCAATTCACTCCCGTGTTTTCCATTCCCTTCCCCCATTCCCAAAAATTCCCCCCAATTCCCAAAAATTCCCCTCTCACCCCTCAGCGGCGCGTAGGGAATTTTGGGCTCCATGGAATTCATGGGCGGCGGCAGCAGCGAATTCCCGAAACTCCGGAGGGGGTGGGTCGGTCGCACGCACGCCGTCGGAATGTTCCGGCTGGGAATTTCCTCGGGAACGCTGGGGGCGGGCTCCGGGGGCGGGGCGGGAGAATCCGGAAGGGCTGGAGGGGAAAAATGGGGGGAATTCTGTGAGATTTGGGGAAATTGGAGTAAAAGGAAATGAATTAAATGAGTGAATGAATGAGTGAGTGAATGAATGAATGAGTTAGTGAATGAATGAGTGAATGAGTGAATGAATGAGTGAGTGAATGAGTGAGTAAATGAATGAATGAGTGAATGAGTGAGTGAATAAATAAATAAATAAATAAAATAAAATAAATAAAAATAAATTCAAAAAATAAAAGAAATAAAAATAAAATAAATATAAGTGAAAAGAAATAAAATAAATAAAAATAAAGTAAAATAAAAAAGAAAATAAATAAAATAAATATAAATAAATAAATGAATAAGTAAATAAATAAATGAATAAATAAAAAAATAAATAAATAAAATAAAATTCAATAAAATAAAATAAATAAATAAAAATAAATTTTAAAAATAAAATAAATACAATAAATATAACTGAAAAGAAATAAAATAAATGAAAATAAAGTAAAATAATATAAAATAAATATAAATAAATAAAATAAAGATAAATAAAGATAAATAAAAATAAATAAAAGAAATAAAATAAAAATAAAAAAATAAAATAAATAAAAATAAAATAAATAAAAATAAAAAAAAAATAAAATAAAAATAAAACAAATAAAATAAATAAAAATAAAATAAATAAAAA